CTGTACTCCCATCGTACTCCCACTGTACTCCCATCGTACTCCCACTGTACTCCCATTGTACTTCCAAAAGTATGGGAGTAGATGAAGTATCGCTTTTTCCCCCTTGTATACACTCAATAAGTGAATTCGAAAGTATTCATTAATTAATAAAATAAATATTTCAAGATCCTATTTTTCCATTTATTTTAAAAATTATCCAGAAACTTAGTTAATTTTACTGAATAGGAAAAGTTTAAATTATTCCATCTAAACATATATTTAAGTAGAAATAAATCACTATGTATTAGCAAAATTTAACCTGAGAATTTGAACAACCAGATTTACAGCTAATACAACATTTTTATTTTAAATGATCAAGACAAGTTTAAACTATAATAAAAATATATAAAATTAATATTAAATTTCCAATACTTTCGAAATAATAAAAACGGTTTAAAATCTAGAAGTAAATTTTTTTCGAATAGTTTAGAAAACATTGTTTAAATTTAATTAAAAACATGATTCACAATTATCATCATCCTAATATGCGAATGATATACTTAAGTTCTCATCCAACAGTATGATATTTGGTTTTTGTTCACAAATCATTAATAGCAAAATCTTTATAGATGTTTCAAATTTTGAAGTTAACTCTTGCTTATATGAAATAAAATTATATTTCTAAAATAAATCAAAGTATCTTATCATATAAAAAAGTTTTTCTTTTCAACTTCCAAGTGAAATACTACAGTGAATAGCACACAATCTTAATAATTTTCAATTGGATTCTTGTTTAACTTGAGATTAAGTTTAATTTGATTCAACAAAAAAGAAATTTCATCTAATGACTTATTTTGATCATCGCAAAGCTTTAAAAATAAAAATCATATCATTGTAAAGAATGTACAAATCACATTCTTTATTACTTTATTTGAATGAATATGAACTAATTACAACCTTCGTATAAACGTATCTTTCGACAGAGTTCTCGAGAGTAAGACTTTTTCGTATTTTTGTCCTACCTAAGATTTCGAGATTTTAGCAGCGGTCAACAAGAAGTTTTCTTCACTATGTTTCAGCATCTTTATTGATTTTCAACGATAGTAAAATACAAAGTTATCACATAGTTCAAAATTTTGATAAGAATAAAATGTCATAAACAATGCCGTCGCTCAATTCTATCTTTTCTCTTCCTAAACTCGTCCACTTGCACTGAAAATATGTTCATTTGTGGCTGAGCTTGTCGGAAATCCGGATAGACTAAGTTGTGGATAGCTCAATGACCGTTGATTCCACCAATTTAATACTGATTTTTTTTATCAAAAGTTATACTCACTTTAACATAACGAGCGACTTCTTCTAAATTAGAAAAATGTCAGTAATGACTTCCAAGTTGCTTGCCAAAATACTTTAACCAATATCAACAACTCTCTAATTCTAGCCTAAACATTTTTGTACTATCTTTACTGTTACCCTAACACGGAAAGGTGGCTATTATGCAGAGCTCTGCTGTAAGCAATGTAACGTTTTGACCGTTACCAATTATAGCTGTTGTTGATACGTGATTTTTATTTAGAATCTTTTTCTAATCTATTTATCCAACAAAGATAGTTATATATAAATATCCATTTTTTTTCTGTGAACAATTCATACTGATGGTGGTTGAAAAGATATGAACATCGCTTATTGTTATATTTCCATTATAATTAGAATCACCTGTTGCTGATATTGTATCAGGTTGTTTTGTTGAAACTAAAACAAAAAATATGGAACGCTTCACGATTTTGCGTGTCGTTCTTGCATAGAGGCCATGCTAATCTTCTATGTATTGTTCCAATTTTATTATATGTCTCACCGAAGTGGAACGACTATCAGTCTATTTTATGGCTATATATATTAAATTAAGAGGAATAGAGAGAAAAAGGTAAATGAGCAGAATATAAAATATCAAGTGATAGGAATGAATGACATCTATTAAGAAGAGTCTTGTTCAACTACTGCTGTTTTGTATTAGCATTGTGACGTATGTACTCTGTCTATTATTTTATGTTGTGCTTGTATTTGTATCTATAATCGAAACTGCTCATATAATAAGTCATGCAATGATCTCAATGTATAAGCAAAGCTTTTATTGACTGAGAGATGTAAAATTATTGTCATTTATTTTTTTTCTCGTCATAGCACAAAACTTTTACGCAATAACACTTATATGTCATAGTATGTTTGATTGCAATTATGCAATACAACATGTTTGCATATAAATGTAATTCAGAGAAACGAACAAAACAGAAAGTACTACCTGCAAATAATTAAATAACTCAAAAATGAGCTATTCGTTGAAGTGATTTGAATCTAGACAATCACTGACTTGTCAAACTTTGTTTTTAGCGACATAATTGAATAACAAAAAATGCGATTTTCCAAAAAGTCAATAAATAATGAATAATGGTTGCTTGAAAATATATTCTTAAATTGATGACGCATTTAAGGGTGCGGGATGAGTGTAGGTGACGAAAAGAGTAATACTTCACACCCTCACCCACACAGGCACATCCTGCGAAACTCTGCGATAAAATGTTAACCTTTCTTGTTTGGTGCAATGAGCTTGACTATTTTCCCTTCAATTCTGTGTAGGGCATGTTGATAATGATTGCTGGATGTGACAAGAAACGTGTTGCCATAGAGAAATATCGATCGATTGAATAAATATTCAAAAAGTAAAATCGGAACAATTTCATGAAAGGATAAACAGCAGAAGTTGAAACTATCATGCTAGAGGATCAATCATTGCTTTGAATATTATATCACTAGAAGCGAACTCAATCACAATGCATCTTCGACTAGAGATTTCAAACGATGAAATCAATTTTGAATCGAAAGTTTTAGCTGAGAATTCCTTATTTTTCATTTATGTAAAGAGAAAACAGAAAAATCTATCATTCAAAACGAATGATTCTAATCAAGTAAATGATATTCTCAATCAATTAATTATTCAATATGTTCAATCTGAGTATTCTTTTTGTTCATAGAATTTATGTTATTTTTTATGGATTAAATTAAGATTGTTCATTTATGTTATAGAAAATATTTCAGCAAGAAAAAAATTAAATTAAAAAGAATATAATGAGAAGAAAATTCGATCGATATCATTCCGTTCATAAACTGAGAAGGTTTACTCTTGATTCGTCCCAAATTGGTCAATTAGACGATTCAGCTCTAAAATATTTTTCTCAATTCGTTCCTGAGATAAATATTCCATTCTTTGTTGATTCTCAACTCGTCCCTAATTGATTAGAAATCAAACAGTAATGTATTTCCATATCTTAGAACTTTATCCAAAAAAATTACAATACAGTATCATAACTATATAATGAAGTATAGATTTCTACTGTTACTTTTTGAACAGTCGTGTCTTAACAGCACGACCACACTCTATTGCTAATTAAACATCATTTTATTTCTTGTTCATGTGTTCTTCACGCCACGTAACAAGTTTAATATCAATTTGATCGTAAATTTTCTTACGTCTTCGTAGTTGGACTTGGCTTGCTTCGGCAATATGATGTTGGTACTCATGTTCCATACGTAATGTCTCTATAAATTGATCGATATGTGGATGAATAGGAAATTCTGCTTTCATTTGCCGGTTGTAACCTTCTACGTGGTTGTTCGTTCGAAGGCGACGATTAACAATAGCTTCATAGACGTTCCATATGTCCACACCAAATCGTGTTGAACCATTTTCTACATAAGTGGAAACCATGAAATCATTGAACTGTGAAGCTGTTTGATAATTCTTTGGTGTATAGTCATTCATCAAACTGACCCAAGTTGTTTCAACTAACGATGGTGGTATAAGTGCAAGATCAATTGCACCAAGCACCCAACGATCAGCCTTCTTATGATCATCATCATTAATTTCTCTTCTGCTAGAAGATACTAATCGAGAGAGTCCAAGTTCCTGAATCTTGCGCCAGATTGAATGGCTATAATGAAAAAAAAACAAGCCGAAATATTCACGTTAGGAAATGTAGACTTGCATGCTTGAATTGCAGCCAACTCAAAATCGCTTGTAAATCGTTGTGGAGAAAAAGTAAGATTAAGTTTAGCACATTGTATCATAATATGATTAAAAAATTTTTTGTATAGAACTTTGTCTAATTTAGTCGTAAGACAATATATGCAAGGGATCATGTAGCCCTTGTCAAAGCCAAATACTACATATACTTTAGCAAAAATAAGAGGTCGTGTGCTGAAAGTACCATCAGCATGAACTTCTGTGCACAAAGACAGGAATCGTAAGCTCCATTCGGAACCAAACATAAGCAGCCGCTCAGATTCATCTAATAAGATAAATAAGTAAAAAACTTAACTTGCTATTTAGATTAACTTACAAGCTTCATCGACAAGGAAAAAAGGTTAATTTCCATTCTTCAGGCAGAGACAAATCAGTTAAACATTTTGGCAATGTCGGATATTTTTTTGATCGCATCCGATATAAACTTGCATCAATGCTACTTAGTGATGGAAAAATAAGACCAGTTGAGATGCCTGGGTTTTCAAATCTTGTCTTTACTACTTCTTGAGAATATATTTTTGTGACTGATGTTGTTTCATCTCGTGCTCGTTGCTTCATACGACTAACAGGTTCTTCCATGACAATTGTTGCATCTGATACCGGCATACGCGTGTGAGAACTAGGTTCTCGGAGAATAGTAGTACCAGATGTGCAGAGAGACAAGGTACTTGGACATTTCCGATCGCGGCATCGTCATTCTTGTGATGACTTATTTATTCTCTTTTTGGTGTATTGATGTCCATTATAGTTGTAAACGTTTCCACCGCGTTCAGATGATGTGAATCGAAGCATATTAAGTCAAATACGATGTGATCGATAGATTATGATTGTTTTTCACTGAGAACATGAACTTATATACATGCAAGCAAGGAGACCAGGGTACTGTCAAGTTATTGTTCGTGAATACAATGATCCTTTCAAAATGATTTCATCATTATAGAGCCAATAGAATGACTATGTGAGGCATCACCCGATACGCATGAAAAATTATATAATTACTTTAACCAATAAAGAAAAAGGAGAAAGATCGTTCGATACTTAAGAGATGAAGAAGAATAAAGATCGTGCGATAAGTAAGAGAAAGCGAAGAAAGAAAAAATTAAATATCGTACGACGTATAACGATACAGTCAATATACAACAGCCATCATGGAAGGGACGAATTGAGAAAAACATTTTAGAGTCGAATCATCTAATTGACCAATTTGGGACGAATCGAGAGGATCCTACTCAGAATATAGATGATTGATGAAAAAAAGAACTAATTTCGATTAGTCGATTGAAGAAACATTCAAATAGACAAGTGAAAAGACTATTAGACAGTTTTGATAAAAACAAAATTACATTAAGTTCTATTGGAACTACAACCAATCAATATCAAATCAATCTTGAAAACCGAATTTGATTCAAAGTTTAACTCATGACGAAAGATTTTCTCTCGTTATTCGAATTTCAAATGTTAAATTAACCTTTATTCGAATAAGAAAAGTTTTCTTCTTGTAATTCATGCTCATTAACTTGTGCCGCGATTGGCATTGAATGATATTCGCATTGAGCAATTAGTTCATTTACATAAAATATAACAAATTATTCCATGAAGGTGTATTTTGGATTTGAGAGATTTGTTAACGCAACAAGTTTTCATTGAGAATATTTTGATCCTTACAAGAGTGAAAAAGATTCAATTGGCAAATGAAAAAAAAGTAAATTTCTTAAAAATCAATACCTTTCTTTTAACATTGGGCTAGAATGATCAAAATCTCACTTTTTATAAAAACATATGTAAAACAATCAAATTCCTTCAGTTTAAAACAGATCAACAGAATTTGAACTAAATTTTTTACAATGTCTTTTTGTGTGAGGTTAAAGTCATTTAAATACATTCAAAAACAATAAAAATCAATCTCCATTGATTCAAAATAAAAAAACGTTGCTGACAAATATTGTGCTTATCACATCTGTTCTTTATTTTCTATAGAATTTATTTTGATATTTAACAAATCCAAATGAATCTTTGATTTGATGATTTAGAAAACTTCTATGTCAATATCAATTGTAGTCAAATAAAGATCGATAAGTTTTACTTATTCACTTTTGACAAAGTCAGCCAATCGCAGAACTACATAGATTGAAAAATGGTCATTTATGACTAACAGAAAACTACGTTTTTAATTTTTTTTTGTGATTATAATCTATCGATTATTAACATGTAGGTGAAGATGTAGATATAGATGATAATGAGATACATTCATACCCATACTCACACCCAGACAATTTCATTTCTTGAGAAAAAAATCATGTCTGAAAACCATGATGTTCATAAAAATTCATTTTTGACAAGGTCTTGCACAGCTCTATAAATTCTAGCTCCACTAAAAATTTCAGATCTCTATCCCATTCTAATCACAAATGACGAAGCATTAAAGTTGCCTCACATGTGAATTTTTTCTCATTTTGAATGAGCCAAACAAACTTAAGAGTACACTTTTTGATTTGAAATTATTCCTCTTATGTAGAACTTATTGAAATATATGCCTACTAATAATTTCAGTTCAATCGATACAGTCGTTCTTGAGACAGGGTTCTGTCAAAACTTACTTCGATAAAAATGTTCGTTTTTGGTATTTTTTGTGAAACGTTTATGAAAACTCTTCCATTTAAAATATGTGTTGAATTTAGCAAAATTTAACAACACAGATTAAGCAACTTCTGTAAACTGGAGGTCGTGGCTTACGTGTAATGACTCACAAGACCTTAAATCGAGAAAATAATGCACCTTTTCTATTTTTCTTAGAGTATCATATAAAAGCTTGATGTTTTGGATATACGCTTAAGTTGAATTAGTCTACTAATTGGTAAGCGATACGAGTGTTCGCAATTTGTAATAAAAAATAAACTGATTTAGTTAATTGAATATGGATTTTGCGTTGAAATAATTAGTGATTACGATACATGAGCAGTAGCAGAGTGGTACCGAGAGGGCTGAACACACCTCAAACTTCGTTCAAAACCACTGTTATCAAGAACTTTAAAAGTTTTCAGAAGGAGCTCAGCCTTCCTGGCCCTATGTGGCGTCGATTGTTTTTTGTGAAGCAGTATCATGAACTTAGTTATATTTTTTGCGAATGTAGTTGGTAGTAACCCTATTTCTTTGTTACATTTTTATGATTCTCCACTGATTCAAATACAATACAATTTAAAAAAGCAAAAAGAAAATTTTCAATAGTTTATACTTGTTTATCAAACGTGTGTTTATTCACTTCTATTTTTGATATATTTATTGAATAAAAATAAAGCAGTACATTTGCGCAAGCAGGCTCTATCGGACAAGTTTTCTATACTCTTCATTGATGGCTCATTCCACATCATTAGCAATGCTTTATTTGCAAAAACAACAAGCGTGAAAAATCTCAAAAGCAAATGCATACCCGTCGATGAGCAGCCCTCTGGTGGAATGGCCGTTTACTGTTACAACTCTACCACAGATAGTAATTACCCAGATATATATGATCGCTTCATCAGTTTCACTTCTAAACGACAAATAACCTATGTTATCTTCTTTATGAATAATTGTCAGATGTAATAGTCCATTCTTACATGTTTTAATTTCAGATTTTAAGAGAAATTTGATCTTCCTTTTTTATTGTTTATTTACAACAAATTTTTAAAAAAGTGCAATATTACGATTGTTATTTTTATCTTTTTCTTTCTGCTTCATTTGTCTATTTTCTTGTTGGCAGAAATTCCGCTAATGTAGAATTCGTTTTCTAAAATTCTGGTAATTGATGTCTGTACACCAGGAAAAAATTGATTGAAAATTGAATATTTTTTCTATTATTACGAGAAAAAAGACCTTGAAAATATTCCAAGTGTTCTACAATATGAAAACAATAACACAGTAGACGATTATTAAGTTTATTTAAACCAAGACATTCAGTTAATTCCAAAAATATATTGTTCATATAAAACACATGATGATAATCTTGTATCTTCTTCAATTAAGCGAAGATAACGAAGTACCTAGAAAACAATCATTAATTTTTTTTTAATTTCTTTTGTTAAACAAATACATACACCCCATGATATTACATCAGTAACAAGTACGTAAATGAGCAAAACATTTTGCAACTTTCCTTAATTCAACATATTCAAGACGATGAACAATTTCATATTGATCTTGAAAACATTCAAGATATTCTTTTTTTAATAAACAAAAATGTTGACCAAGTAAACAAAAAACGTGATCCAATATTCGTTCTTTTCCGCAATTATCAAGAATCATTGGACATCACTCCATCTAAGAACTAACGAGGGAAGTACCCAAACTGTTTAAAAGCTTTTGAGTTCGGACTTTGTGCATAATGTAGACCCCAATGAGATATAGAAAACTTCAAAAGGACAAGTGCTCATAGACTTTCTACGCCAAGTTATAGGTGTTTTACTGAAACTTTAGCCTACAGTACTGTATGCACTAAAGAATCGAATGACGATGTTTCTAGCTGAAATTTTGCTCACAGATAGGCCTAATAGTAAATAGAATGTCCTGAAAATTTCAGCTCAAAAGAACGTTCCCTTCTCGAGATATTGAAACCCCCGAAAAAACATGAGGTTCTCGAATCTTTCGTGACATA